CCCCCCCTCTCTCTCTCTCTCTCTCTCTCTCTCTCTCTCTTTCTCGCTCGCTCGCTGGTGCTCCCTACTCCGCGCTTACTCAGTCTTGGCGCTTGGGGAGGGGAAGCCGGCCGCGGAACTTCCGAGCTCTCATTACGCGTGCGAGTGTCTCGGGCGAAGGACGTCCTTGCGCGTTATCTCTGTACGCACGAGCGTATGTGATTGAACTTTTTGCGTGCTTCGCCACCGTATCTCCAATTTACAATATTATACGCCACATTCCAATCGTGGAATTCTCATTCATCGTAGTCAAGTTGCGCTTTCGAAATTTGCGCGTTGACAAGATGGCGGGGTTGAACGATCGTTCGTGGCGATCGAAGCGACGCATCGATCTATTGCCGTGACGTGAACTCGGAGCCGCGTTCAGTTCAAAGGGATCCACCAGACGGGACGGTAGTGTTCTTGTGATGTTCGCGAACGATCGCGTTTATTGAGTGGTATCAAGACATCCGCGACGTTAATCGTGTGCTGACGGCTAACTAGACTCTATTCGTAATTCGGAAGAAGTGATTAGACACGTCTCAAGGAACAAGTCACGACGTATTTCGCTGGGCATTCGCCTTGCCACCAGAAAGCGACCAGCGAGAGACATGTTGGTACGTAACGAACATTCGCGCATTGCTATGAAGTTGATGCCGCGTCCTTTTTTCATGCATCCCCATTCGTAACGAGCGAATCGCGCGCTCCACATCGGACGAGTGTCTGTTGTGTACAGTCGATGATCGTAATTAGTGGCGCGCACTCGTGCTTTTCTCGCGTTCGCGATCGCGTAAATGAGTGTGCTAGTGAATCTTTCATCGCGCTCGCAGCCAGGGAAGGATCATAATCGGATCAGTAGTCGGCATTCGGAGCGGGATTTCACAGAGTGCAGCGGGATGGCAGTGTATTCGACCGGTGAGTAAATTCATTCATGCATTATACTTTAATTGACTGAACGTGTGAGTACATTTGTTCGTGATGACGGATAATTAATGACGCGTTTAGTTTAAATCGGGGTTTAAATTGCTGTTTAAATCGCGTCTCTTTGGTGGGAATTTTGGAAGATATGTGGTACAGGTGGATCGCGTAAACAAAACATTGGTTGTGTTCAGCAGAAAAAGCTGCTTTGCAACTGTTGTAAAATTCGTAAATCCGATTGGTACATGCTCTTGGATTCAACCAAAATTAAGAGCATACTCCAATCAGATTCATGAATTTTACAACAGTTGCAAAACAGCTTTCTCTGCTGAACGCAGTCATTGCCATAACAAATGTACTCGCGCAACTGTTATCGAAATCAATATGGCTGATCTTCAGTAAGCACGTTATTGCATGCTTAACTTTTAGGCTGCCGGCATTTTTTCATTAAAAAAGTGGTTTCTTTTTCTCAAAAATTTTTCTATTATAAGTATTTAATATATAAGTAACATATACATTGCGTAGAATTTTGAGATTTGTGCAGAGCCACAAAAGTGGCTTTCTCGGCAGTCTAAAGGTTAATAACTCTGAAGAGAGATTACGACTCTCTTCAATAAAATCGATTTCAAAGGCGTTCTGTGTCGCACACCCAAGGTTGGGCAAATACGTATTTAAAAGTATTTGAAATACAGTATTTAAATTTAAATTACGCCTCTTACCGCCGATTTATATTAAATAATTAATTACAAAGTTAAAGATACTTAATCATTTGCTATTTAAATACTGTATTTAAATAAGATACATATTTAAATATATATCTTAGATACTTTCAAATACGTATTTGTCCAACCCTGCGCACACCGATAGATATACGATGTGTTGTACAGTAAATAAAGTGCATATATTTTCGCGTTCTGTAAGAATAACCTTAATATTAAGGATATAGTGGTAAAATAAATCGTCGAATATTTAGCTCTTGTGCTAAATATTCGGGGTGAAGTCGTGTGATAATATTCGCGAAAATATCTCGATAGAAGATCTTTTTGATAAAATTCTCGAAATTGCGAAAACAGGTCTTTATTTTTGACTTCATATTTAGAAAATGTGAGACAAATAAACAAAGCTAAAGTTCTCGCTGGGGAAATAAATGAAAGTAAGATTTTATCTCGACTATATCGAATTTTCGCGACACCGACGCGAAGCTTTGTGTTTACGAAGAATGTCGAGCGTGCTGATTGTATTTTATTTACTTGTTGATTGAATTTTATTTATTTTCTGTCTTTGAGCCGATATACATTCTTTATTCAGCCATCTAACGTTGGAACAGTAAAAACAGGTCGTCTCGTGTTTACGGACTTTAATTAATCACCGTGTCTAAAGAGTTGCGAGAGGATATTTTTCCAGGTCAATACGGCAACTCGTATGTGTGAAATAGTTGTTCATTAAAAACTAATTAGGTGTAGAAACAAGGGCAAAAGAGTCAAAATCGATAAAGAGTCAGCTCAACTCGAGAGAAAGGAATTTTATTTTTGTAAGTTGAGACTGCGAACGAGAGATGAATCCTTTCTCAGAAATTTATAGAAAAGTTGGAAACTTGTAACGAAAATCTTTTTATATTTAAAAATCGATTCTTTTTATCAGGACGGATAGTTACAACGCAAAGTAAATATTGGAGTATGTTTCATGATAGCAATATACACTGCTCTCGTAACAATTGAATTTTTAAGTGCCTCAGTTGGTACTTCAGATATTTCAAGCACATTGAATAATTTTCTTTCATCAGTATTTATCCGACTTGAAACGTGAGATTTACTGCAAGTCTCGGGAATGTTGATTTATGCCTGTAATATCGTTCCTTGGGGCAAGTCCAACCTCGAATCTGCTTTTCTTTCCGTTTCCGTTTAACTTTGTCTCATTACACCAAATTCAGATTTACACTTTTATTTGTGCTTACAGCGTTATTGGATACAAAACAGCTGAATGAGTATATTTGTATTTTAGCTTTCACTTTTAACATAACTATTCATTCATTCGGTCCTCTAATTGCCGCGGGTGATCTATTTTAATTAAATTGAACACGTAACACACGCACATCCATTGATATTACTACCGGGAAAAATATCCTGCATTGCATGCATCTGTTACGACCGCATTGAGGGAATTTGCCTCACGCGATTAGTTTCGGTAGTATTCAACGGCGTCACTTGTTACATCGCGTCTGTTGTTTGTAACATTACGTTGTCGCGGACATATGGGGGTGGTGGGGAAGTCGCTGATCCACATATACACAGTGCGGGTTCAAGCAGGTCTGATCGCTAATTTCCTCTGCCGGGAGGGACTGTAGAGGGAATGCTAATTTTCAGTTATCGCGGTAATCGCGGCTTTCACGGTCGCTCGGATTAACTCGTCGCGAATGAATCGCTTTATGTGAGATTAATTAGCTCGACGATGCACAGAGGGCTTCTGGAGTTTCCACATTCAATATCTTTGTATGTAAGCGTTAAGGTTCCATTGAGTTAAAAAGACCCGCTTGAAATTAGTCGGATTAGATTAATTAGCAGGAGGAAAGACGTTGTTATCTGTTTGCATCGATTTCCCTTTTATTTCTCTCTCTTTCTCTCTCCCCGCTCCCCCTCTTGTTAGAATTCTTTTCTCTCTAAATGTTCCGAAACTCCCGCGGCCTCCCGACGCTCTCCCTCGAAAACAAGGCTAGGTATGTCTCGATCTTCGGCAAAGGGTGCGTCGCGTCTTGCCTGCACGAATGCAACCCGCGTTATTGTCGCATACACAACCGCGCCGGGCACCGGCGAGTTCATGTCGCGAACTAGCTCATCTCTTCCTCTTTGTCTCTCTTTCTCGTAAGTGGAACGTACGCCAGAGCAGAATCGCGACTCCGTGGAAACGCGCACTATAACGTAGCGTCGTGCCGTAGGAACCGTAGTAGTCGGCAGACGACGGCCGCATCCGACCGTCCGTAAACAGTTTACGGATGCATGCGTTTAAGCGCGGGTGAGCGCGTAACGCGCTGAATCACGAACAAAGGGTAATAGCGCTCGTAACTCGAATATTAACAGGGTCTGGCTCGATTCAATTTACCGCGGCGCGGTGCCCAAAATTGGCTCGTCTGACGCCCCCGACGTTGATCCTCGTCAGCCTTTCGCACCGGCTCGCATCGGCTCGCACCGTCGAGAGCGTCTTTGCTTCATGAAACCGCTGCAGCGATACCGGACATCGGCCACGAGTGCGCAAACACGTGTATACACGTCGAAACTCACATACACGCGCGCGCGCGCGCGCACACATCCGCGCAATCCGTGAGTCTACACCTTTGCCATGAGCAGCTAGACGAAGTATCAACAGGTGCTGTCAGTCGGTTGTTTCGCTTAATCGGTTTCTATTCTGTCCAAGACTTCTAAGCTTCGCCCGGCAATTCGTGACACCCCTCTTGGGGGAATCTTAGACGTCCGTTCCGCGCTATTGCCGCAGTCGGCGCACTGCAGCGTGCAGCTTGTTCGAGCTTACAAATCGCGTTTGTAGCCGGAAGGACAAGGAAAAGCGGGACGAGACTTTCGCGAGGCGGGGTTCGAGTGCGACGGTATAATTGATGCGATTCTACCGCGGCCGTGCGAATTATTTCCGTCCGTGGATTGAACTTCAGTGACGAAGTGTCGCGAGTAAGTTCGCATTTCGAAAGTAATCTCGTTTTCTCGATGATCTCGACCCTCCCGATTGATCCCGAGTCGCTCGATTCTCGCGTTAATTTGGAGAATGTTCCCTGCCTCCTGGCTCTGTATCGTGCGCCAGTTTTATATTGTTCAATTCGCGTGTAATTAAAGGATACGGCGCTCCTCGGGCAAAATGAAATAATAAAACGCGTCGTAAACGGTCGGCAATGAGGTAAGTTTGGCACTCGTCCCGCTGGCCAACGCCGAACCCATTCCGAGATTGAATCCCACAAAACTGACTGCACGTCACGATGTTATAATTAATTTATAATACCTCTAATTGCATGGCCATGTCGGATGTGGCTGTCCGGACATTTAATTTGCACACTAATTAAACAGGCTGCTTCCCGTTGGAGTGCAATGTGCGACCGTTTCGCGTTTCTCGTCGCGGTATTCGCGCCGTACTACAAGTCACTCTCGCGAAAAGCCCGGCGAGACGCGACGCGGAGATGCAATCGTGGGACACTGCAGCTTTGCTCTCTTCTTCTTTCCCTCTTTCTCTCCATCTACTTTCCCCCCTCTCTCTTTCATTCGTGCACAAGCAGGCTCACGGTTCGTGAGATATCTGCAAAAACGTAAAGCAGTAATTAATCTTGAAAAGAGTAGCTCCGAGACTCGCGTCTCTGTGCCTTGTGTCGTTATTGCTGTTGCTGGCGCTGTTGTTGTTGTTGTTCGAGCTTGCCAAAATTACTCGAGTCTCATGAATATTTCTCATTTCCATCGAATACGAGCGAGGCACTGAATGCGGGGGAGAGAGCGATTCTATCTTACATCGCCGCCGGATATGCCGCCGCTCGCTCTCTCCCGCTGCTGTCACGTTTTCTCGCACCTGCAGTCCATTACATCTTCCGATGATTCGTGAGGCATTCGTAGCCACCCCGCGATTCGTGCTTTCGCCGTTACGTGTCCGGCATAGCTTCCGAGAGGAGAGGTAACATGTTGGTAAAATTGCAGTCGCCCGAGCACGAAAGTAGCACGCACCTGTAACGCGCGGAATACGAGAGAGGGAGAGAGAAGGAGAAAGAGAGAGAGGGAGGAAGAGAGAGAGAGAGAGAGAAACAGAGAGAGAGAGAGAAAGACAGAGAGAGAAAGACAGAGAGGTTCTCAAGGAGGAGAATGAGGCACGTTCGCAATGACATTTAAAATACAGTCCCTTTTGTCGAATGAGCTTTCATATCCGGTCATGACTAAAATGCGAATTCCCACGGACGTATATGAACGCACGTGCGTTTTACATATTACCGTTATTAACACGCGATTTGCGCGCGCGCTTTCAGCGCTGTCCGCGAGCTCCCGCCCGATCGTTGCAATTGCCACTCTGTACGAGGGAGTGTAATCATTTCATACGACGTGTAATCATTTTACGAGCGCTATTAGCACATTATGCAATTATTACGGAAGTCCGGATACGAGCGGTCGCGCGCACCGCCGGGATGATTATCGACAGACAGGTAACGATATGTTGATAGGCCATTGGCGACAGCCGATAGTATAGCGCCACACACAGGTGGGACGGAATAGTATAGTTTATGTATTTTAGGGAGACAATTGACATGTGAAATAGCGAGGCAAGAGCGGGCATGTCGCAGCTGCATTGTAGCTACGAAATGAAGTCGCTCCCTCACTCGAGCGTTTCAACATTTCAATGTTGTGCATGAAGTCGCGTGTACCTTCGGCTTATCGGTGTTGACACTCGCGTCGATTTGTCCGATTATTCGCACGAATTAGCGCGATGAATTAAAGTAAACGCTAATCCTCTTTGCGTCTCCCGCGTGACGATGAATCAGAGCTGTGTTTTTGCGCGCGTGTCAATCGCCCACTCTGCACGAACGTTACATCTGTATTATTTTATCCCGTGTTTTATCCCACTGCTTTGTTGCGCAAGTACGTGTCTGACGGATAATCCGCGCGACGTGAAAATAGAAAAAAAAAAGAATGTCTGATCGCGGGCACCGCTGGATGTGAAAGACGCGGG